GAGAGAGAGGGAGACACAGAATTCGAAGCAGGCTCCAGGCTCTAAGCTGTCAGCACAGAGCCCGATGCAGGGCTCGAACCCATGAACTGTGAGATCATGACCTGAGCCGAAGTCTACGCCTAACTGACTGAGCCACCCAGGCACCCCTATTCTGATTACATTTAAATGGGGATAGTGCTTTCAGTCTTTCCATTTAAACTGTGGGCTATTGAAGTGATTTGTTGTTTTTCTAGGTCATTTGATCATGTTTTTATAAATACTTTTAGTAAAAATACAAATGAGTTACGACACTGTGATGAAAATGCAGTTTAGTAAAACATCTGTAAAACTGAGGGAAAATGTTTTCTTGCTGTTTTTATAACCATATATTGTTATATAGGCCCAAATGTCTGGATGTTCCTATCTAGTTTAATAAAACTATTGTTTTTCTTTAGTCATTATTATCTTTTGCTTGAAAAGTCAGGTCTGGAAAGAAACTATTATTTAACCATAAATGACCAATCCTCATTAACAGTAAGAAGAATAGCTCTTGAAATTTTGATGGAAAGTGCATTGAATAGTATATATTCTAGTAATTACGCTAGTGTTTTAGATTAGCAGACTGCAGATAATGTGGCATGATTATTCTGAGATTAAATCTTGCCATATCCATAGTATGTAAATTAGAAGAGATTTGACTTTTTTTCCTAAGTATTAAAGATGTGGAGTTTTTGAACCAGCATAAACCAGTACTTGGCCATAGTGGGGGGCCAGTAAATATGTATTAAATTAATTAATACATATTTAAATTAATTAATTAAAAAATACTTACATATTTTCAACTTAGTATTCCTCTGAAGGCAATGCTATAAGTGTCCAAGTAAGCCATTCATTAAACATTCTTCAAACATGTCTTGAGCATATGTTGTATAAGACCATAGAATCAAACACCTGAGTCCTACCCTGTGGAACTCTATTTCTTTTCTTCTCTCTTTCCTTCTTTCTTGCTTTTAGCAGATTAGATACTGTAATATCTTAAGATTGTATAATATTGTTAAGCTAGCTTAACAAACTGTGGGAGTCTTATCAGCACTGTTCCCACCCTGATTTCCACTGCAGAGCTCCAATATTGTGTGGGGGAAGAAAATTCTTCTCATCCTGGGGGTACAGAATCAATGCTGACATTCGGTTGCTACTAGAATGACAAGGATAAATAAGATACAGCCTGCCCTAGCAGGACTCAGTCTAGAAGGAGAAACAAATGTGTAAATAAAGATATCACAAGTCAGTCTGATAAATGTGATAATGGAAGTATATAGTATAGTGTACTGCTTAAGAGCCCATACTTTGGAGTCAATAGGCCTGGATTTAAATGATAGTGTATCGCTAGCCATTTGGCCTTGGGCAAGTTACTTGATTTCAGTTTTTCATTTATAAAACAAGACTAATAATAGTATCTCCTATTGAGTTGTTACGATTATTGAATGAACCACTGGCACTCAAAATGCTTATTAGCTCAGTGACTGGTTCATAAGTGCTCAATAAATGTTAGTTATTACTATGTTTACCATTCAGTGATTTTTTTTTTTCCCTTGGAAACATTAAGGAAACAATCAGAGATAAAGAGCCACGTGTCTGGTTTCTGAAAGATGAAGGAAGTAGAGAGGGAGAATATTTTAAACAGAGTATATGGATGTACTAAAGCATAGATGTATAAGGAATTATAAGTAGTTCAGGTGCAGGAAATGAGTAGTTCATTTGTCTTGGAACAGCTGCTAGAGAGGGTGAACTAGAGGTCAGATGATAAAGAACACTATACACCAGTCTAAGGAATTTGAACTTTTCTTCTATGGGCAATAGAGAATTGTTGAAGGGTTTTCACTCTAATAGCAGTGTGGGAAATGGGATGCAAAGAGATTATTTCAGGTAGGAAACTTACATGAGAGAGAAGATACAGTCATAGTACAGATTAGAGGAAAAATTTCACCTCTCCCAGAGCAGTCAGAGGAGAAACAGACAGCAGAGGCTAACTTCCAGAAATTTTTGAAGCTATAAGTGATGAGATATAATGAGGGAGAGGATTAAGATGAATCTCATGGTCTAATTTAGGTATCTAGGGGTGCCTGGGTGGCTCAGTCGGTTGAACGTCTGACTTCGGCTCAGGTCATGATCTCGCAGTCTGTGAGTTGGAGCCCCGTGTCAGGCTCTGTGCTGACAGCTCAGAGCCTGGAGCCTGCTTCAGATTCTGTGTCTCCCTCTCTCTCTGCCCCTCCCCAACTCATTCTGTCTCTTTCTCTTTCTGTCAAAAATAAATAAACATTAAAAAAATTAAAAAAAAATAATTTAGGTATCTAGATGATAATCTAGATGCTGAGATTTTTGGGCAGACTTCTTCCTGTTCAAAATAATATGAAAGAGTCAGTAGATGAAGTAAGAAAACATTTTCTTTGTTATTGATAAAAACACTTCAAGTAGTAAAACATGTGTTAAGGTAAGAGCCAAAGTTGACTTGCTTACTGTGTCTCCTCTATGATTACCCACCTGAAAGAAAGTCTGAAATTGGAGAGCAGATGCACTCTTTCCCAATCACATCTTCAGACTCGTTCAGCAGAGAAGAAAGGAAAAAAGAAATTACATTACCTCTCATCTTGGGTTCCTCTGGACCATTGATAAGTGGTTATTGTCCATGAACCAGATGCAAGAAGCCCTGTAACAGTGCTATGAACAAAATAGGAACAGCAAAAAATAAATAAATAAAGACTGAATTGGGGGTGCTGGGAGAGGTAGGAAAGAGGAAGGAGGCCATGAAATCAGTTTGAGATCTAGTAGTCAGTAGGACGTAAAAGTTACCACTCCAGACTACTTCTTTAAGTCATATCTTTTCTTTTCATCTGTAATAAGGATGTTGGCCAAGCTAGAGGTGCTGGATAGGTATTACAAGTTAAGAAATCTGTGCAGCATAACAAGAATCTTTTTAGTGAATAGAACTGTTCATCAGAGGCTTTAAGAAGACCAGAGGCCATTTGTCAGTGATGCTGAGGAGAGGATTTCCTAATGAGCCAGAGGTTGGACTGGGACCTCTCAGATCCCTTCTAACTCTAAAAGTTCATTAAAGAAGATGCTCAACAAATAATTAGTGATTTGCTAACATACCAATAATATTTTATAACATATAAAAATTTATAACTGTAGTTATACTTCATTTTAAATTAATGGAATAACTGCATGGATGTTATTTGAAGAACATACTCTTCAGATAAAAGTGAGATTAAAACTTTATCTTAGCTAAAATTTTATGAGAAAATAGAGTGTATTGTTGATACCAGTTTCACTTTAATTATTTCTGGATTTGAATTTGGTTTTCTTTTATATTTCAGTATAAACCATGTAGAAATGAATGTTATGATGCATTTTATATATGGAGGAACTTTGGACTTTCCAGAGAAAACTAATGTTGGGTATGTATTATTTTTAAATCATTTTAAGTATAAAAGTATTAATACTTTGTGGTGTCTGCTTTGTTGAGCTTTGTTTTAAAGTGTCAATACAGTAGAAGCTTCACTTTCATTATTTTGCCATATCATGTGTATTTGGGGAGTATCTAAAAACAGGAGGTCGCATTATTTAGAAGAAAAGATGATCTAGCAACTCACAGTAATAAGATTAAGAAAAGTCTTTATTTGACTCAGATTTTGTTAGAAAGACCTTATATTTGTTTTGGAAAATAAACGACAGGTTTTTATAAAGTAAAATTGAATATCAAATTTTGAACAATTTACTATTTTGTTTTCAAATTTTAGGACTACTCTTTTAAACAGCAAGAGAAAAGTAAAAAGAAAAACCTTAAAATTACTTTATAGACATCCTAAAAAACAACAATGGTTCTTAAGTGCTGTTTAGTGAAATTCCATGTAAGCACTGAAACTGTAGTAGAGAGTGAAATCTACCTTGCTCTTCCAATTTTTTGGATGTGTTCTTCTTCTATTGCTGTTTTCATACCAAACAAATGAAAGCTGCTTTTTAATTTAAATATTCATTGGTTTTTTAAATTACAAACTGAGTAAATGATTTTGGGGGGAAAATGTCATGAGTCACAGGGATTGAGTATTGAAATTTATCCCCCTGGAAACCTATAGGAAATTTTATCATGCCCTCAAGGCTTGTAGGTTTCCTAAGTACCTAAAGTGAGTGTGGTACTTGGAAATTCTTGCCAAATGAAAGAAGCAGTGGAAACTCGCTGAGGCATTGGATACTGTTTTCAGTCTTAGAGTCATTTGTAGGTATTTTCAGTATGATAAACATCAATTAATTGCCCTCCTCCCAAGTTTTTATTATACAGATTTCTTGCAAAGAGTTTTATAACTTTTACAGCCTTTGAAGCAGCTTCCTGGACTTTGCTGAATATGTCACTGACAATATGAGGGGAATTTGAAACATCTCCAATTTACTTCATGTTATTCTCCACTACCCAAGTCATCTGACAGTACTTTCAAACTTTGACCTGTGTCCTTTTTATTATCCATAAAGGATATCTACTATGTAGGACAGAAAGTTAGAGTTAAAATAATTCAGATTATTATTATTTTTTTAAACAGGCTATCTATTATTAAGACATTACTGTGTATTAGTCCTTAGTTTTTAAATTGGAAAATTAACAGTCTATCTGTTTTTATTTTAGTCAGATACTCAATATGGCTGATATGTATGGACTAGAAGGATTAAAAGAAGTAGCAATCTATATTTTAAGAAGAGATTACTGTAATTTCTTTCAGAAGGTAATTATTGAGTCTCAGAAATCTTTTACCCAGTGCTTAAAGTCACCCATTATTATCTACTAGATTTTTAACTCTGATAGTGAATAGGGCTTTGAATCTTAAAAAATATTCAGTCAATTTAACTAATGGGAACTCTAGTTGAGAAATAGCTCATATGATATGCTTACAAAAAAACAGAAATTAATTCAGATCATTTAAGTAAAATAAAATTGACATGGAGTTTATTGAAAGGATATAGGAGTATCCTTTATAATTCAAAGGTGGAGTGTGCAGCTGGGACTGAGTCAGGGTGGGTGGCTCAGTCAGTTAAGCGTCCAACTCTTAATCTTGGTTCAGGTCATGATCTTGTAGTTTGTGAGATCAAGCCCCACATTGGGCTCTGCACTGACATTGCAGAGCCTGCCTGGGATACTCTCTCTCTCTGTGTGTCTCTCTGTCCCTCCCTCCCCTGCTTGTGTCCATGCGTTCTCTCTCTCACTCAAAATAAATAGAGAAAAAAACCCACATTTATCACAAGTGTTTCATTTGTTCTTTTCCCTGAAAGTACGCTCTTCCTTCCTGTCACTTCTCTTTATAGCATCCACTTGAGATGGAATATATTTCTCTTCTCATCAAGTGGAGTATGAATACTAACTTTTAACTTTAGTTAATATAAACATAAATTTATTGTCTAAAGAAAGATCTCCTACTACACATTTGTACAGATGCCATTTTGTACATTATTCTTAGATTATCTAATGTTTTAACTTACTCTGTGACTATAGGTTATTTTTTATGTACTTAATCATTTTCTAAATTCTCTACAGTGATCATATATTATTACTTTTATAATCAACAAAAAAGCAAATCTTAAAATAGTTGTTTTACATTGATATTCTCTTCTTATTGGGTACTTGAGGCAGCAGTATATATTGTATGCATTTTAATTAGGTAATTTTAATAATTTTAATAACATGTAAATTTATATTTTTGTGTTGGGTAGGACTTTCCTACCTCTGTATAAGTTGCAGCTGAAGAAGCACCCCATGTACTAAAAGAGAGCCATGAACAGTTGCCTATAGCACCACCTCCACTACCACCCAGAGTTTACTGAGAAACATTAAACTCCTCAGCTACCTTTAATCAATCATTTATTCCAGCCTCTAGAAGTAAGGAAATTAAAAGAAGGAGGGTGGTCTGTGGTATCCTGAACTTTGTAGAAAGTGAATAATTCTGATGAAAGATTTTCCTTCTCTTTCGTCTGCTTCCCTCATCTTCCCAGCCAAGTGGAAGTTAGGAGGGAGATCCAAGCATATCTGAATAAAAATTAAAGATAGAGGGTATCTGCAATGAGGAGATATGTCTTATCCTTCAGATGGACATATGCCACATCTGTAAAACCAGCCCACTTTGGAGCTTCCATTAAAGAATAAAAGAAAATGGTAAGAGATTTCTTGGGAGAGCCTGAATTTCTTGGAATATGCCTCAGAAGCCAGTAAGAGTACCCTCATATGTGGAGATTTCTAAAGGGAGAAGCCAGTACTAGTTTGGCCATTAGGGACAATAGCTGTTGTCATGTGTAGAAAAAAGTAGGGGTGCCTGTCTGGCTCAGTTGGTAGAGTGTGCAACTCCTGATTTTGGTGTTGTGAGTTCAAGCCCCGCATTGGGTGTAGAGATTACTTAAAAGTAAAATCTTAAAAAGAAGAAAAGAAAAAAGTATGGGGAGTCCACTCCACACCCGTTACACCTGGTTCGTGGGGAGGGAAGAGGACCTTAGTGGTTCTTTGAAGATTAGAGGTTGCTGGTACAGGGCCAAATGATGCTGTGTCCCACCTAGGGATCACTGCGCATCATGAACCACTAGAAGAATCTTTATCCACTGAGGGGCTAGGGTTACATGTAGTCTGCTCCTCAAGAGTCATTGGCAAACGCCATCAACATCTTTTTTTTTTAATTTTTTTTTAATGTTTATTTATTTTTGAGAGAGAGAAACAGAGCATGAGCGGGGGAGGAGCAGAGAGAGAGGGAGGCACAGAATCCGAAACAGGCTCCAGGCTCTGAGCTGTCAGCACAGAGCCTGACGTAGGGCTCGAACTCACAAACTGTGAGATCATGACCTGAGCCGAAGCCAGACGCTTAACCAAATGAGCCACCCAGGTGCCCCAAAGGCCATCAACATCTTAATTAGAGCAAACTCAGTGACATCAACCTATTTCCATGCTGTGTCTGGTTATTTATATGGCCATTCATAGCCCTCTTTCACAGGAGTTAGACCTAGAAAATGGAGGAGCAAGAGGAGACCACACCATGCTCTACTCCTGATTCCATATTTCCCCAACTATAAATGTAATCAGTGATGGGGGAGAGAAAGATGTAAAGCCAGATATAAGATAGGTGTCTAAATAGTACTGTGCTGATTTCAGTTCCAAAAAATAACCAGAAAATACTGGAATTTGCCTATAATGTCATGAAGGGATGGAAAAAAGGAGAATTTGACACAGCATAGTTGGCAGCATTATCTGGGAAAAAAGTTTTATGTTAGTATCTCCTCTGAACTGAGACTCCTCAATAAATGAATTACATCTAACATTTTATTTATTTTTTATTTTTAAAAAATGTTTTATTTTCATTTTTTATTTTTTTATTTTCCTTTTTTGAAAATATGATTTATTGTCAAATTGGCTTGCATACAACACCCAGTGCTTATCCCAAGTGCCTTCCTCAATGCCCATCACCTATTTTCCCTCTCCCCCACCCACCCCCATCCACCTTCAGTTTGTTCTCTGTATTTAAGAGTCTCTTGTGGTTTGCCTCCCTCCCTCTCTGTAACTATATCTTTTTCCCTTTCCCTTCCTCCTTGGTCTTCTGTTAAGTTTCTCAAGATCCACATATGAATGAAAACATATGTGGTTTATATATACAATGGAATATCACTTGGCAATGAGAAAGAATGAAATCATGCCATTTGCAGCAACATGGATGGAACTGGAAGGTATTATGCTGAGTGAAATAAGTCAGAGAAGGACTGGTATCATACATTTTCATACATTGTGGGGAATAAGCTTGGAAATTCCCTGGGCTTGCACCAATGGGTTAACAAAGCATAAAGAATTACAAAGCCATAGGATGCTCACACCCAAGTTTGGGTAAACAAGATTAGGTGAATAAAGGTAGAGAAGGGGGGCTAAGGCCCCCAGAATAAAGTAGGGGGAAAAGGCCCCCAGAATAGAGGGGGGGCAAATGTCCCCAATATAAAGGTATATGAGGTAAGCAAGATTAGGTATTCAGGGTGAAAGCACCCCCCCAATTTAGTACTATAGCAGAAAGCTGCTTTCACAGGAAGGAAGGACCAACGTAGGTAAACAGGTAAATAGGGCTATAGACCTCTGTGCTGCAGTGAAGCTGTCGAGAGCAGAGCTGATTAACAAAAGAAAGGTGTCTTGTTAACCCTGAAGTTACTTGCTGTATCTGTCTTATCCCCTAGGCTGGCTAAGATAAACAGACATGGTGCTTCCTGTCTGCCATTAACAATCATCTGACCATCCGCCTGGGGCCAGGATTTTGTTTTGTATTAATCCAAACCCCTAACCCCAAATATCTTCAAGACCCCCTTTCCTTCGCGTCCATAAGTTAGTGTTCATAGTTTCATTGCCTCTTTGTGTGCATCCATCACCATGTTTGTAAGCCTTCTGATCCTAATACAAATGGTGCAAGGACCCTCATTCAGGGCTCTTGTCTTTTCTTGGACATTAGCCATCTCTCGCTTTTAATCCTGCGTCCGCTCTCTTTAGACTTAGAGAACTTTAGACTTAGAGTCTATACAATACATCTAACATTTTAAAAATAATCTCTTTTATGGATAGTCTTTGGACCATTGCCTCTAGTTTTTAGTATGTTTATAAGTATACATAGGTTGTATGCAGCTTCTTGCATTTTACTTACAATAATTCACTTGATTTTTAAAACACAGAAGGCATATTTGTTAACATTAAAACAACAGAAAATGAAATTTTAAATAGATTATCAATATGATACTTTGTTGAAAACTTTTTTCACTTTACTTGTTTTAATATATTTTATTGTGGTAACAGATATTTGAGAGAATAATTTTTGCTTTTATTGCTTGATCTTTAAACTTTTGCTTTACATATTTTTATAATATATAACTTTATAAATATATCTTTGAAAGTATAATTTTTAACTTCTAGATCTCAGGGGTATCTGGGTGGCTCAGTCGGTTAAGCATCTGACTTTGGCTCAGGTCATGGTCTCGCCATCCATGAGTTTGAGCCCTGCATCCGGCTCTGTGCTGGCAGCTCAGAACCTGGAGTCTGCTTTGAATTCTATGTCTACCTCTCTCTTTGCCCCTCCCCTGCTCATGCTCTGACTCTCCCTCAAAAAGAAATAAACATTTAAAAAAGTTTTAACTTCTAGATCTTAATTATGTAGTTTCTTGCCAGTGACTTACTTGCATGTGATAAGCCTATTGTAACACACTGCACAGTAATACAAATTTGGGTAGAAAGTAATGGGTAACTGGCCCTGAAACTTCTGACAAGCTTTAGTCATTTCATTAACTTCACAATTTTACCTTTTACACAATTAAAATTTTTGGACTTCATTTATAGAATTACAGTGAACTTTACATTATATATTTTTCATCACTTCTTTTTTTTTTAAGTTTATTTTTCAGAGAGACAGAGACAGAGCAAGTGGGGGAGAGAGAGAGAGAGAGAGAGAGAGAGAGAGAGAGAGAGAGAGAATCCCAAGCAGGCTCTGCACTACCAGTGCAGATGTGGGGCTTGAGCTCACACAACCATGAGATCATGACCTGAGTGGAAACCAAGAGCTGGACTCTTAGCCAACTGAGCCACCTAGATGCCCCTTTTTTGCCACTTCTTTAAAAACATATCTTGGGTAGTGATTTAAATATATCTCTTCCCAAATTCTGCAAGCAGATTTTGAAAATGACTAAAGGTCTGTCATCCTGTTACAAAATACTTGGAAATTAGCATTTTTATATAAGTGAAATTCTCAGAGAGTTAAAGTAACCGTTTAAGCCAGTGGTCAGTAAACCTTTTCTGTAAAAGGCCAGATAGCAGATATTGTAGGCTTTGTGGGCCATGCATTCTCTATCACATCTACTCAGCTCTGCCGTTGTGGAACAGAAGCAACTACAGACAACATGTAAAGGAACATCATAGTAGTATTCCAATAAAACTTTATTCACAAAAACAGTGATGGGCTACATTGGCCCACAAGTATAGTTCCCTGGTCTCTGCTTTAAGCAGCAAATTACTTTGTATTTTAATTTTTTTATGGAAATTATTCTTATACATCAATTAGTGGACTTTGTGTTGTAAAGAGCTGGTTATTCCTAAATTAGATTGCTGGACCTCTTTTTTTTTTTTTTTTTTTTTTTT